ACGACGACGACGACGACGCGGGGTTCCAGTTCTGCGTGAGAGGGTGCGAACGAACTGGACTCGCGCCGACTCGCTCGAGCTGGCTGCCTCGACCTGTACTCCCACATCTCCTCGCCCTCGTCCTCCTAATCATCACCGCACTCCTCTGACTTGTAACCCTACTCCCTCTCTATCTCTCTCTCTCTCTCCTCATCCTCCCTTCTTTTCCACCCTCCTCCCCTCCTCATCGGGCCCCAGGATCAAGCAGGGCCGTCCACCGACGGCGGCAGCGCGAGTCCCATGCACTGGCCAGCAGCAACATGGGCCTTCGAGTCCCAAATACCACAAGAAGGCGATTGGGCATGAAGCTGCTGCTCCACGCAACCCCGCACCGAAGCGCGAACACCCGAGTGCCGATTCAATGCAATCACAGCGTAAGCGAGAACACACCAGTGTCTGTCAGCGCCCGCACTGGCCACCCGCTGCTCTTAGACCGCTGGCGACAAAGGGGATCTGATCCAAGGGGCGCAGAAACGCCTCGTAGTTGGGTCCCTTACCCCCCGCCCCTACAAAAGTAACGCACCTCCTGATCATCCTCCTCCTCCTCCGCCTCCGCCTCCGCCGCCTCCTCCTCATCGTTTCCATCCTCCAGCTCATGCTACTCATCCTCGTCCTTGTCCTCAGCCGCGAAAGTTGCATGACGTACAGTTGCACCTGATTGCAGAGAAAGTCGGCAGCGGCCGCCCCTAGCAAAACACACAGCACTAAGTTGTTGGGAAGCATTATTCGGGCGGTTCAGAAATGCTGTTCTCGGCGACGATCCAGAGCCCCCCAGAAGCCGCGCGTAGCATCAATGGAAGAGATGGGGGGAGGGCGAGGAGAAAGGAGAGGAGGGAGAGGAAAGCAAAAGCAGCTGAGAAAGAAGGGGAGGAGGGAGGGGAGGGGAAGGAGGGAGGGAAGGGGAGGGGAGGGGAGGGAAAGGGAAGGCGAGGAGGAGGGAAGGGGAGAGGAGAAGGGGGTGGGGAGGAGGAGGGGGATCGACTGACCGACCGACCCCAAGGTGACCTGGGAGGCCCTGGCCCAAGAGCAATAGAAAGCAGACCGAGGACGGGGCCGATCGTACGCGGACTGGAGCGCCCACAGAACCAAATCGGATAATCGCGGGAAGCGGGCTGAAAGGAAGCCCTGGACAATTCTGCCAGACGAATCCCAAGACTACACGCCAGACTAAAGGCGCCAGACAAACCGCTGGACGAATGCGTCGAACTAACGCGCCGGATTAGTCCCCGCACTTATCTGTACGACTACCAGACTAGATCCCTGACTAAGGTGGCTGGTTGGTCTCCGCCCTGGTGCCAGCAAAGTGGTAGGACTGCTAGATACACTAGAACGGCGGACGAATCCCCTCACGAATACTACAGAAGGATTCTTCTCATAACATTAGTGTGGCAGTTAGTGCGGGACTTTTGTTCGGCGGCCAAAATGGCGTCGACGCTGGCGTCGCGGGGCGACCGCATCCGCCCGCGCGCGCCTGTAGACGTGTGGGAGGCGACCTCACCTGAAAGCTGCAAGGGCATCACTTCCTGACCTTCTGAAGGGCCATACGAGACACCACACAAGGCCTCCCAATCGAAGGAGCCGGAGGAGCCCAAAAGAAACAGTCACAATCTGAGAAGCTCTATAGCCGCCTGAAGGGTGCCCCCCTGGAAGGACCCTGCCCTGGTAGGCCCCTAATCCTAATCCAGAGGGCATCCTGCCCCTGAAAGGATCCTGTCCCTGGAGAGCTGCGCAGAAGGCATCCTAATCCAGAGAGCCTCGCAAACTGCTCAAGGCCCCCCGTTCTGAAAAGCGAAAAACCGCTCCGGAAAAGTACGGCACCCCACATGGCATCCCAATCTGGAATGCCCTAGAGGCCCTATGCGCCCACCCCCAACATGGAAAGCTCTGGAGCCATGGAAGGAACCACCCTCTGGGAAGCTTGAAATGTTCCCAGAAGGCATCCCACTCTAGAATGCTCTGCGACTTTCATTTGCCTGCGACATTCTTGTGCGTACGTAACATCAGTCCACTCCACTCCACTTGTTGCGACCCCACTTGCAACTGCGAGTGGGGGAAGGAAGAAAAAAAAAACCTTACCTTGTCTCTGCCATCATTTCAACCTGAAAAACAAGCTTGTCTGATAGTTCATGTCTGCTGGGCCAGACCGTCGCTTAGGGAAATGGGACAAACCACCAGGCGAACCACCATGAGTACAGTACCCCATTGTTCCACCCTGGTTAGCGGATGGACGACGGGAATTACTGTTACGCTGAGGGCTCGACCTTGGGAAATCGTCGGATGTGTCATAACCCGTCCTCCTCCCCACTCTCTTCCTACCCCTCTTTCCCTTCCTCCTCCTCCTCCTCCTCCTCCTCCTCCTCCTTCTCCTCCTTCTCCTCCTCCTCCTCCAACTCCAACTCCAACTCCTGCTCCTCCTCCTCCTCCTCTTCCTCCTCCTGCTCCTCCTCCTCCTCCGCCTCCTCATCTTCCCCCCTCTATACTCGTTCCTCCGTCCGCCTCCTACTCCTCCTCCTCCTCCTCCTCCTCCTCCTCCTCCTCCTCCTCCTCCTCCTCCTCCTCCTCCTCCTCCTTCTCCTCACCATTATCATCAGTATTATCCTCCCCGTCTCCCCCTACTCACTGCTTCTCTGTATCCTGGTCCTCCCCATCACTGGGCCCCGAGAACGAGGAGAGTCGCTCACCGATAACGGCAGCGCTAATCCCCTGCACCGACCATCAGCAGCCTGGGCCTCCTCCTCCTCCTCATTATCCTCCTCCTCCTCCTCCTCCTCCTCATCATCATCATCATCATCATCATCATCATCAACATCATCATCATCATCATCGTCGTCGTCGTCGTCGTCGGTCGGTCGGTCGGTCGGTCGGTCGGTCGGTCGGTCGGTCGGTCGGTCGATAAAGGCTGTCTGGAAAGTCCGTAGCCTAACCCGGCAAGGATCAGTCAGTGCAAATGGAGAGGGGAAAAGAGCAGCGCGTCAGGGTGTCACTCACCCGCGATGTAAGCCAGCCCGAGAGTCCCCTTCCTCCTCAGCGAAAGTGCCAAGCGGTTCCCAGACAAGCCCCACGGGCAGCGGCCCTTCTCGGGCCACGTCGTTCCCCTCGGGTACGAGGATCCTGTACGCAAGACAGGACGCGATACAGCCAACAATGGTGGCGTTGCCACCGCTTTCTTCCTGCACAGCGATCGCTCCAAAAATGGCATGGCACAATACACGGCTGGTTGTTTCCAACCCATTCACTTGCATCCTATCCAAAGGTGGCTTGATGGCTTGGGATATGGTGACTTCATGTGGGACCTGTATGGAGCAGTTTCTTCTGCAACTAGCTGCTGCCACGAGAAGCATGCTGACTCTCATCTGCAGATTCTCCTGGTCAAGGAGGCTCCTCTCAGTCAGCGTCACAGCAGCTCTACTCCATTCTCGCTCGCTCCCTTGGCCTCAAGTCTCTGGCTGGCGACATGGGATTCCCAGGCCTCCTCCACAAGAGCTCCCCGCAGGTGGCCACCGATGGCGTGGCAACAACAGCAAATATGTGCCCTTCCTTGATCCGCCTGAGCCAATTCTGAAGGTTCCTTTTTTTCTCCAAGCGCGGAGCCCACCTCACACGCCAGGCAAACCCGGGGCCCTGGCGGGACTGCACCGGTGCAATCGCGAGGACTTTAATTTGCACGCGCTGCACGAGAGGGCCGAACGCCACCGCACACGTCCCGCACGACAAGAGAGGGGGCAAGGAGGAGGAGGAGGAGGAGGAGGAGGAGGAGGAGGAGGAGGAGGAGGGAGGAGGACAAGGAACAGGAAGAAGACGACCGTCGCCAATCAAACAGGGGGCGACGCTAGAACGTACAGGCGAGAATGGCAATTGCCGCGAGGCTGCTCTGCCACTCCGAATCGCAATTCAAAGCTTGCACAAACCTCAAGAGAATAACCGTGCCGCTTGAGGGCCCGGCAAAGAAACGGCATGATTATTTCCCTGCGTATTTCCAAACGGAATGGACCTCCAGGCCGCACCGGCGGGGTTCCGCCCGGGGGTGGAAAACGCCTGACGGGAAACAAGCCCGGACACTCCCACACCAGGAGACGCGAGGAGGAGGAGGAGGAGGAGAAAGGGGAGAGTGCGGGAAACGATCGCTGCGCCAGACGCGGGAGAGAGCACGCGGGGCGTGTACCATCGGGGGTCTCCTAGTCTACAGGCGGCCCTTGAATCTCTACAGGCCTCCCAGTCTACCTGGACCATCGGGGGGAGCTCACGGTCACACATTATACGCGTCCGTTCTCCAAAGTCCTCTGAGATCCTACCTTGCGCCTTGACCCAAAGCACAAGCGGCTGTCTTTGGTAGGATTGTGGGGAATGCTGGCAGTTACAGGTGGGGAGCGGGGGCACAACGGTGGAATTCCCTCCTTTCAACTGCAAGACCTCTTGTGGTGTGAGCTCGACAGTGGAGATGAGCGGCGGCGGTGGCAGAGGCGGGGGGGGGGGGTCACAACAATTACCCTGGCGACGTACCCAACCCCTGCGCAATGCGGGGCATGAGTAGCTTGGGCGACTTTATAAGAAAATTATGGCGAGACAAGGACATATATTTCTGCAACCAGCATTTGGAAGGTCCCATTTGAGTCTGCCGCGGGGCCCCACTATGCTGGCCCCCCTAGCAGGCCTCGAAAATGGCGACAGTTTCACAGATCGCAGCCCCCCAGGGATGGCGAGGTCTAATTTGAATCTGCGTAAGACGTCCCTGTGCTGGACCCCCCAGCAGCCCTCGAAAGTGGCAAAAGTTTCACAGATCGCAGCCCCCCAGGGATGGCGAGGTCTAATTTGAGTCTGCGTAGGACGTCACTGTGCTGGACACACCAGCAGCCCTCGAAAGCGGCAAAAGTTTCACAGATCGCAGCCCCCCAGGGATGGCGAGGTATACTTTGAGCCTTCGTAGGACGTCACTGTGCTGGACACACCAGCAGCCCTCGAAAGTGGCGACAGTTTCACAGATCGCAGCCCCCCAGGGATGGCGAGGTATAATTTGAATCTGCGCAGGACGTCACGATGCTGGACCCCCCAGCAGCCCTCGAAAGTGGCAAAAGTTTCACAGATCGCAGCCCCCCAGGGATGGCGAGGTCTAATTTGAGTCTGCGTAGGACGTCACTGTGCTGGACCCACCAGCAGCCCTCGAAAGTGGCAAAAGTTTCACAGATCGCAGCCCCCCAGGGATGGCGAGGTCTAATTTGAGTCTGCGTAGGACGTAACTGTCCTGGACCCCCCAGCAGCCCTCGAAAGTGGCGACAGTTTCACAGATCGCAGCCCCCCAGGGATAGCGAGGTCAAATTTGGGTCTGCGTAGAACGTCACTGTGCTAGACCCCCCAGCAGTCCTCGAAAGTGGCGACAGTTTCACAGATCGCAGCCCCCAAGGGATGGCGAGGTCGAATTTGAATCTGCGTAGAACGTCACTGTCCTGGACCCCCAGCAGCCCTCGAAAGTGGCGACAGTTTCACAGATCGCAGCCCCCCAGGGATGGCAAGGTCTAATTTGAGTCTTCGTAGGACGTCACTGTGTTGGACCCCCCAGCAGCCCTCGAAAGTGGCAAAAGTTTCACAGTTCGCAGCCCCCCAGGGATGGCGAGGTCAAATTTGAGTCTGCGTAGGACGTCACTGTGCTGGACCCACCAGCAGCCCTCGAAAGTGGCGACAGTTTCACAGATCGCAGCACCCCAGGGATGGCGAAGTCTAATTTGAGTATTCGTAGGACGTCACGATGCTGGACCCCCCAGCAGGCCTCGAAAGTGGCGACAGTTTCACAGATCGCAGCCTCCCCCCCCGAGGCAAGACGGGCAGAAGGCGGGAGGCAGGCGGGAGAAGGACGCGACCACCGTCCTCTACTCAAAACGAAAACACAACCAAGGAGGGTTTGGGAAAAAGACGGGCCATACGCGCACACGGGAGGGAACTTGACAGCATTGCCATGTCTCCCTGTACCCCGAGTATGTTTCTGGGTGTCACTGGTTTCTTGCCTGCTGGCCTCCAGCTCCTCTGCTGAGGTCGGCCTTCCCGATTCCCCACCATCGTGTTCGACAGCACTGGACTCTGCACAGGCGTGCGACAGCAAGTTTGACATATAGATCCTACAGCAAAACTTTCTGGTTGGTGATGGCCATCTCCTCCTCCTCCTCCTCCTCCTCCTCCTCCTCCTCCTCCTCCTCCTCCTCCTCCTCCTCCTCCTCCTCCCCCCCATCCTCCTCCTCCTCCTCCTCCTCCTCCTCATCCTCCTCCTCCTCCTCCTCCTTCCTCCCCCTCCTCCTCCTCCTCCTCCTCCTCCTTCTCCTCCTCCTATCCCTCCTCCTCCTGCTCGTCCCCCGCCCAACATCGCCCGAGCCTGTGGCTCTCGGGGGCAGAGTGGAAGCCCTTGACGCCGACAGCGACGCACTCCTTCTTCAGCTCCACAAACGACAGCGCGTGGCAGACCAGCGCCCACCGGAGACCCTGCACTGAGAAAGACGCAGAGAGAGAGGGACAGCGAGGGAGAGTGAGATGTGTATATATATATATGTGTATATATATATAGAGAGAGTGAGAGAGATCCACCGACCCCCGCTTGCTGGGAGCGACGAAGCGTGTGAGATGATTGGCTGTCCCCCCTGTTCCCCTTCTCTGGTGGGGCGAACATCTCATTTGAGGGGGGCGACGGGGGTCCTCGACGCACATTCCAGGCTCCATCAGCGGGCCGCCATGGCTCACATGCAGCCAGGGATCGTCCAAGGCAGCACCCAAGACTTCCCAGGATGGGCCATCGTAGGCCGTGATGGCCCCATTTATCCCCGAGATAGTTCCACGATGGCCATGAAACCTCCCAAGGAAGCCCCCCGAGAGGCCAAACCTGCGTTTCCGCATCTTTCAAGCTCAAGATGGCCTCGGGAAGGCTCTGGAGAGGCCCAGGAAACCCCAAGACGGCCCACGACGGCCCGAAGAGGGCTCCAGGACGGCCCGGGAGAACCCTCCAAGACATCCCAAAGTCGCTCCCTGAGGGCTCCAAAAGGGTCCCAAGACGGCTCGACCGAACCCCTTCGGCCACTTCGACCCCTTCGGCCATTTCGGTCCTTTCGGGAGAGCCCGGTCGAACCATCCCGCCCAAGACTGCCTGGGGACCCGCACCAGGCAGCCAAGAGGCCCTCCAGACCACCCGAACAGGCAGAGAAGGGGCCCCGAGAAGCCCCGAAGAAGCCCCCGAGAAGCCTCCAAGAAGCTCCCGGGAGGCAACGCGGCAGACGTGCAGTGCCACGGCCGCGTCAGGCTGCAACATCGCAGCGCTGCTTCCCCAATGGCACGAGCACGGTTCTGCCAGGCCTGTCGGGAGGAGTCGACGGGACCATCCTGCACGCGTCTCGATGCTGCACTGGGACGCCCTCGGGGCTTGCCACAGGCACCTGGATAGGAAGAAGAGCAGCAGACGGCGAACACCGAGCTTGGAGGAGGCTTGCCGTGAAGGAGGCGGGCCCTGGCGAAAGTGGACCCTGGAGCCCGAGGGTTCTCCCCTGGGGCTGGGCTTTCCCCCTGGCAGGGGCCCTACAGGCCGAGAACTGAGAAGAACCTCGGGGACCCCCCTCTCCCTGTGGACACGCTTTTGGAGGCCTGGAAATGGGCACCAACACCAACACAGGGGGTTGCCTCCACAGGGGGAAGATGAACCTAGATTTCGGTGTTGGTGGTAATAGTTCGGTCACCTTGGAAGCCAGAATATTACCACCATCACCGAGATCGGGATCCTCTTCCGTCGGTGGAGGCACACCGCCGATATTGGTGTTGGTGTCAACCTCTAGGCCTGCGACGCTTGCTTCGTGGCGGAGGGGCGGCGCCGCCCTCCCGGCCTTCAGCAGCTGCGCGCGGTCGGCAGCGTCCGGCGGCTCCGGGAGGCCGAGCCTGGAGCACTCCTCGGGCGCGGCGCGCGCACACGGGGGGCCCCGCCCACTCTGGCGACCAGCAAGCTGGCGCCAAGTGGTGGTCTCCAGACCTCCAACGCATCGAACCAGAAAACATCACGGAGGTTTCTCGCGGCACTCGGCCTCCAGGAGCCCTCGCCAGGACCCAGGCCCTGGGGCCGGCGGACCACGACCCAAGGCAAGAAGCGAGCCCTGGGGAACAGGGCGGGACCTCCAGGGACCCCGTATCGAAAGAATCGAGGCATCGGATCTGTGGGTCCCACCACAGTGCTCCGAACATTCCCGAACCACGGTGGTCGGACAGACACACACTCCAAACCACAGCAGCAAAAGCCTCCCCAGCATAGCACCCAGACAGCACGGGGAGAGGGGAGGGGGGAGGGGTACCGTCCAATGGCGGGCAAGAGGGAAAGATCAGGGAAGACTCCGCGCTGGCACCCGCGAAACAGAAGCAGGCCACCACCACCCTTGGACCTGTCTGCGGGGACAGCACTTGACAACCGCGAGAACAGTACGGCGCCAGGCTTCTCGGACACAACCATGAGGGCATCTGATACAGCGCAGGGGTTGCCCTTTCAACCTGTCCCTCTGAGAATGGCGGCTTTGACAGGCGCCGATCCGAGAAATCCGCGCGGACCTCCGAGTTGTTATGTTTATGCCACTGTTCGTCCCCCTAGATGGGGAAACACATGGGGAAAGAAGACATGGAGCGGAGCGGGGTGGAATGCCAGCGTGCGCCAGAGCGCGCCCTGCGCGGGCCGCCAGCGTGCTGCTCCTCGCTACACGATCACCATCGCATCCCCATACACGGCAGTGGCAAAAGCTCCTTCGGCTTGCCATGATGATCTATCCCTCTAGAAAGGTTCCTGACATGACATGAGGACTGCGTCATTCGGCGGAGAAAAACTCCGATCCGCCTAATACTTATAACTCCGTCACACCGAAACCAGATCGGAAACTGCTCCGCTCCAGACCCTGATTTCTCGAGCAGGGTGCGCCCACGCGCGGAGTAGTTGGAGCACTTCTACTCCGAACCACTCCGCGCTGATGCGCTATTCGCGAAGGCAAATTGTAAGAAACTTTCGCCACTGTGTTCACAAGCCAACCCAGCGCACAGCGCCCCCCTGGCATCCAAGTCCGCACTGCCTTCGACCACTTGCCCATCGGTGCTCCCGACTGTATTTTGCAGGAGAGTAGCTTGACAGAGGTTGCGCACATGCCCACGTCTGAAAGCCTTCCTTTTCACACACCTCCAATGCTCTCTGGGTTGCATGGCAAGTGCTATCCACGGACGGCTGGCCCAAGCGCCCCGCCAGGGCTGCTCTCTTCGGCGGCGCCGCACTACTATCACGAAGCGTATTCCGCAAGTCCGTCTGAAATTCAGCTCCCCTCGCCGCCGTCATAGTCCACGTGTCATCTCCAAATAAAACAATCGGTGATATCACAGCGACGAGGAAGCGAAGCTGAGAGCGCCGGAAGCGCAACATATAATGCCAGTTACAAAGCACTGCAGTGAACTTTCCGACTGCCTCGCAATTATTTGCAATGCGAATTTGAAAAACAAAAACAAAAACAAAAAAAAATGGTTACGTCAACTGGGAGCACCTCAACCCTGCCAGCCCCACCTTGCACGTTGCGCGTGGGATTGCGACACCCCGCGTCGGTTGGCAACGTTTGAAGCAGTTTCAGCAAAGCATTGAACAGAATGGGGATCATCGCACCCTCCTGTTCGGAAGCTCTTCAAATCTTGAGATGCGACTCTCACGGGCGGACACGATCTGCACTGTCTGCTCTCCGCACAAGTTGCGCAACACTCGGATGTACGAGTCAGGAACGCCCTGCTCGCCCAGAGATGGCCACATGGACGCGTGGATGAGGACAACATGTAGATACCCAACCACTCAAAAATCCCACTTGGGAAGCAAGGAAACAGAAGCACCATACACCACGACTGAAGGCAACTAGCACTCGTGAAGAACTCCCGCGCACGGGGGCCCTGATGCCTTGATTTACGAAAAGACCCCATTTGTAAGTCATACTCGAAGACACAAGGAGCTGCCAGGATCGGGATCTAGTGATCACGGCCCCGATGCGAAGGCAGAGACGGCGGGGCAACGGCGCGGCTGCTCGATTGGTCAATCACCACGACACCCGAGGGTGCTGAAGAACCGACAGATCCGAAAGCAACTCCAAAAATATTCCATAGACCCTAACGAAACGTGAACCGCAGCGTGCGATGTTCAACGATCTCAGCCCGATGCACGTGCCGATCTTCACGAAAGAGCGCAAACTGAAGCGCAAGATTGTGAAACCAGGGCAGGCCACCACCACACTGAAGAACAGCATGCACCCAAGCGCCAGTCAGGCGAGCATTCCGCATCAAAACTCACCGCAGAGAAGTCGCAGTCCGCCGAGGACGCCGAGGAGATACCTCGCTGATAACTTGAACTGGGAGGGGGCAACAGCTATAACAACAAAAATAAAAACGAGGATCCCCCCACGCCACACAAAACCCCACACGCCCCCCCACCCCCACACAAAAAACAGGCACGATCCACACACATGAAGATATATAGCTACACCTACACCCATCCGCTTGAAGACGCATACGACCACAAACGATCGATTTCCCTAAGATTCGTCTCCGGAGCCCTTTCGCTAACCAAAGACGCCGCTCGCACATGACGCCGCATGCACACGCGACCTGTAACCGCATGAGCGCGCGCACATCATGAGTGGAATGAGCGCGCGCACATCATGGGTGGAGTTTCTGGTACCACACACCTGACACGGCTAGCAAGCTGCGGACGGTATCGCCGACAGGTCGCTGGCGTATCCCTGGTTTGCTCCGACGATTCACATGCACATCGTGACAGAGTCGTGGGCGACTTGCGGGCGGATCGGGGCAGGTCGCGGGCGGATCATTGCGGGTCGGCTCCGCGTTGGCGCGCGCAATCAGCCGGGCGGGTCGCTACGGAAAAACGGCGATCGAATACAGGCGCGACGGCGTTCTCCCCTCCACGTTCACCACGCGCCCGTGGGTCCCGAAACAGATGATGGAAAACTCAAACGAATCACCGCTGACGATGATGCTCTTACATTTGGAACATAGCGGCCTGCAACGACCGAGAAAGCAAATCGCACTCTGAACTGACAGGTCTCAATCGCCCGAACAGCAACAGACAGCATGAAAGCCAACGGTCACTGGCACTGAGCGAGAGACGACTTCCACAATCGCTGCACATCCCCAAGCCTGTCGAGGACATCACGATGTCGAGGAAGCGAGAGCAAAGAGGTGGGCTTCGTGAACACCAAACGGCTCAGGTAAATCCATATCTTGGATGGCGCGTGAAAGATCCCATCTTGCAATTCAGGTCGGGATGCGTGCGGGACGAGCGAACACACATAAGAGGAGAAGGCAGAGGTTGAGGGTTGAAGAGACCCGCTGAACGAGCTGGACGAGAAAAACATTGAAGCAAGAGAGCATGGACGGGATATCTGAATGGCCAAAATGACACACAAGCCAACCTAAGCAAAGCTCCTCGCGTAGGCCTCGGTCGTTCATGGCCTGTGCGCGGATCTTGCATCGGACCAGCGCCCGCCCCCCCTCCCACCCCCCAAAATGAAAACACGCCCACGCATTTCTTGGCGTCGAGGCCGCGCGCGCGTAGCGACGAGGCGGAGAAAGTCAAACTACACACACACACACACACACACACACACACGCACACACACACGCAGGCACGCACGCACGCACGCACGCACGCACGCACACGCACACACACACACACACACACACACACACACACACACACACACACACACACACACACACACACACACACACACACACGCGCGCACGCACTACGCACGCACGCACGCACGCACGCATGCACGCAGGCACGCACGCACGCACACACACACACACACACACACACACACACACACACACACACACACACATACACACACACACAAAACACACCCACACACACACACGTGCTTGTTGCAAGCGACGAGGCCGTCTCACGGCTCGGGCCACCTGATAGCAAAATCAAGACGAGCGCTAGCTGCAAGCTGTCGGCGATGGGAAGTAAACGTGGAGCCCCTGATGGGGGGGAATGGACTACGATGTACAAAGGAACGACTTCGGAAGTGATTGACCAAAAGCTGAAGAACGGCAAGCAGTCCAACGGAAGCTTCAGGAGCTCAGCACGAATAAACACCGATTTTGCCATCGTCCCGTCGCACTACATCCCAGCGGTGCGGCATCGCCTGTGGCTGATTTGTTAATGAGGAGATGTATGCTGTAGCACACCGCCTGAGCTGAAGAACTCAACGGCGTAGCGCTGACATCGGCGAAGAGGCAGCGGCACGGTGAGCTGAAAGTGGCTGACCAGGCGAGCGAGAGTAACGGCAGCCCGGGCGGTCGGGAGAGAGAAGGGCGTGTCCCGCGTGGCACCCGAATCGCCAGGGGGGCAGTGCAGCAGAGCAGAGGAACGAAACACTGCATAGACAGAAGTTTTCGGAGGCCCGCGCGAAACTCCAAAAGGTTATGTTGATGCAAGTTTGTCCTACACACGAGCAGCTACGCGAACGCGCGCGGCTCAGGCGGCAGGCGCGAAGCGAAGGGCCGGCGCTCGGGGGCAGAAAAATCCAGCCGAGGTGGCGCGGTGGCTTCCCAGCGCAGTGCGGGAATGGCTGAATCCTGCAAGCTCGAGGAGCACAGCCCACCAGCGTGCATCGAGGCTGACGCCACTGGAAGCGAGGGCGGGCTAGCGGACACGAAACTCCACACTGACCCACACCACGAATGACCCCTGTCTCGAGCGAGTCGAGGACGACCCCGCCAGCGGGATGTCCATGATTCCCGTGCCAGACCCCCTGGGTCTGTATGCCCTCGTCTCAATCAGAGCGAACGGCTTCCAGTCGTCGACGTCACCAGAAGCCGATGTGCCACGCACACACGGCATGCACCTGCACCATCACATTGTCCCTCCCTCCCGTTCCCCTCCTCCTCCGCACCATCATCATCAGCATCAGCATCAGCATCAGCATCAGCATCAGCATCAGCATCACCACTATCATCGTCCGCATGATCATCAGCATCGCCTTCATAATCCTCACCATCGTCACAATGAGCATCATCAACATCACCACCGCGTCATCATCATCAGCAGCATCATCATCACCGACGGCGTCGGAATCAACAACATCATCATCACAATCACCAGATTCGAACATGTTATCCTCATCATCGCCTCCACCGTCGTCAACATCATCAACCTCACCGCTGTCTGCATCACCACCACCACCGCCAGAACCACCGTCGCCATCAGCATCACCACCAGCCTCATACATAGCCATCAGATTCAACATCATTATCTTCAGCACCATCGCCACCAGCATCATCATCTTCTTAGACATCAGCATCACCATTACCATCATCCTCATCATCAGCATGACCATCATTATCGGTATTGGCAGCATCATCATCAGCAGCAGCGTCATCAACATCATCGCCATCATCGTTATCCCCCTCACCCTCACCCTCCTCATTCCATTTCCCCTCCCCCAGCTCCCCCTCCACCTCATCGTCCTCCTCCTGAACGTCCCCAACTTCCCTATCCTCTACTCCTCCTCTTCCTCCTCCTCCTCCTCCTCCGTATCATCTTCCTCCTCCTCCTCCTCCTCCTCCTCCTCCTCCTCCTCGTCCTCATCCTCCTCCTCCTCATCATCCCCCCTTCCTTTCCTCCTCCTCCTCCTCCTCCTCCTCCTCCTCCTCCTCCTCCCTCCTCCTCCTCCTCCTCCTCCTCCTCCCCCCCCCCTCCCCCTCCGCCTCCTTCTCATCCGCATCGTCTCCTCCTCCTCCTCCTCTCCTCCTCCTCCTCCTCCTCCTCCTCCTCCTCCTCCCTATCCTCCTCCTCCTGATCATCCTCCTCCTCTTCCTCCGTTTTTCTTCCTCATCCTCCTCCTCCTCATCATCCTATCCTCCTCCTCCCCCTCCTACTTCTCATCCTCCTCCTCCTCGTCCTCCTTCTCTTCCTCCTCATCCACCTCCTCCTTCTCCTCCTCCTCATCATCATCATCATCCTCTTCCTCCTCCTCCTCTTCTGAGTATTCGAAGTGTGCTTACTGCTACTAGGTATGTGTTAGCAGTACTCTGTTCAAGCATAATGAGTTGAGTGTCATTGTTCTTACCATGTTGAATAGGATTAGTCGCAGTAGTGTTACTAGTACTATCAATGATAGTATCGCCATTATTATCTTTCTTAGTCGTATTATCATTCGTATTGTTATTACTAACATGTTGGTATTATGTCTACCCGCCTTATTACTACTGTTACGCGCATTAGTATTAGTATTCGTCTTCGTGTTATCAGTATGACTGTTGTTATTATGCGACGTCTTATTCGTAATGTTCAGACGATTATTGTTATGAGTGCTATTCGCATTACTTGCATTAGCATTAGTGTTGGTATTAATGTATTGTGGTTCGTAAATGTGCAATTATTCGTACCGTTCAAAAAAGTTGATCAACCATCCTGTGGTGTTGGGTCCCCGTTTTGAACAGGCAGCGCCCCGCGTCTCTCCCATTCTCTCCTCCGCCCTCCTCTTCTCATCACCATCACCATCATCATCATCATCATCATCATCATCATCATCATCATCATCATCATCATCGTCATCGTCATTATCCTCACCATCGTTATCGTAATCATCATGATCATCGTCAGCATCATCATCGTCGTCATCGTCGTCTTCACACCAATTTTGGCACACACCTCACACGTTTCATGGCCCCATAGGGAGCTCCACTGAAGGTCCCAGTGGCGTAGTCCGCATGCGTCACGCAGACCGGTTTCGGCACACCCCTCACACGTTTCGTGGCCCCTTAGGGCGCTCCACCGAAGGTCCCAGTGGCGCAGCCCGCATGCGTCACGCACACCCATTTCGGCACACCCCTCATCTCATTTTCAAAATGTGGCTCTCGCCTCAGCGTCGCGCACATTCGTCGCAACATATTAGAAGAGCTTAACGGATGGAGGGTGGTTCCCTTTCAAAATGTGGCTCTCGCCTAGGCGCCGCGCACATTCTTATTAAGAGTTCGCGACAGTTTCAAGGATACCCATGGCGAACGTCCCATAAATTGCATTTTGGCACGATGCCAGACTGTCAGAGCGCACAAAATACGTTGACTCGTGGTGTTGAAGTCCCAGGGATGGCGTTCTGGCACGATTCCGGATCGTCAAGACGAAACAGTAACAGTGATTCGAACCGTTGAAATCCCAGGACCAGTGCTCTGGCACAGTTTCGGATTTTCAAGCGGTTGTTTTCCAGCAGGTCACTTCATTCAGTGAAAATGAACCCTTGCATGGGGCCTACGAAAAGAGAGCTTGGGAGGGAGGGTTTTTGCAATATCGTTGATGGGTCGTGGGTTTCCACTAAGCCTCCTCCTCCTCCTCATCCTCTTCCGTTTCCTCCTCCTCATCATCATCCTCCTCCTTCTCCTCCTCCTCCTCTTACTCCAAAAATTCGGCGCAGAAGCAGGAGGGACGAGGAGGAGAAAAAGGAGGAGGAGGAGGACGACGACGACGACGACCGCGACCACGACGACGACGGCGACGCCCCCCGCGGTCGCCTGCAGAGCATCAAACCTGCTCGCCAGCCCGGGGGCCGCGGTCGGCGAGGCCAGGCGCGCCACGGGCACGCCGCTCCCCTCGAAGGCCTCGGGCGCGTGCTGGCGCGCACGGAGAGGGGTGACGCGAGGGAGGCGGCGAGCTGCGGGACGCACGGGGACATACTTTGGATGCTCGTTCTGGGGACCTTCCTGGAGCCACTCGCTCCACTCGTGCGTCGAAGCTTCTTCGAACGTCAGTCGATTTGGGTCGACCCTGAGTCGAACCTGAGTCGAACCTGAGTCGAACTTGAGTCGAACTTGAGTCGAGCTCGAGTCGAACTGGGGTCGAACAGATCCGTTAGGTGGGCTCCAGGAAGGTCCCCGAAACGAGCATCGGACATACTGGTACCGTGCGTCCTCCTCGGTAGAGGCGTGCGGCCGACCCGAGCGGTTCGCACAACCGTCTCGTCATAGATCGTTTCCCGAGCGGTTATGGCCCCAGAAGGCGCCCGCCGCGGGGCTTGTGCCGCAAGACTCCTCGGCGTGCGCGTCGCCCTGTGGGGGGCAACGCACGCCTAGCATTCAGACGCTTCGGCGACGCCGATCCTGAGAAGGCGGGAGAGCTCTGAGGAAGGCAGGGGCCTTCTCGGAAGCTCTCCCGGCTTCTGAGAGGCCTGCCTGGAAGAGGAGGAGGAGGAAGAGGAGGAGGAGGAGGAGGAGGAAGAAGCCTCCTTGGACATCGTGTACATCATGGAACACAGCGCCATGCCAGATGCTCTGAGACCGTTGGCGCAGTTGGCCTTATCAACACCTATACTAATGCAGCACTTGGATAAGGAGCCTCACCTCGCCCAGCAACTGATCGAGTCCAACAGGCTGACCCACTTCGGCATGCCGCACACGGACCAGGTTGCAATATCCAGACGCAGTTCCAGACCTGGCAATGGCTTAGCGGACTCGCTTGTCAATGTTACATTTACGCGGCCACTATCCTTAGCCGAAAGTACGCTAATACAAGCAGACCTGTGCTATCGAGTTCCACCAGCACCTGAAGGAGCTCCTAGGTTCACGAAAGGCCGCGACGTGAAGTCCGTGCTGTCGGATGTGTCCTTTGTTGACGACGCGCTGTTCGCAGTCCAAGCCAGAGCAGACGAAATGAAAAGAAAGATGTGTCGGACCGTGGATATTGTGCACAGCGCGATGGCCGTGTACGGTTTCGAGATCAACTACAGGCGTACTAAGACGGCTCTACTTCCCACCCTACACGGAGCTGGAGCGAACGTGGTCAAGCAGCAGCTGTTCTCCATGCCTGAACCCCACATCATCACGAAGAAGTATAACCTCAAAGTCTTTATTGAGACCAAGTACAAGCACCTGGGCACGCAGATCGACAAGGACGGGTGCATTGGTACCCAGATTGCTCGGAACCTGCAAAAGCAAAAGCAAGCGCTGGGCCCTGTCCGCAAGAGTGTCAACAAGTTAAATACGATGAAGTGCGAGCCCAAATTGAGGTTAGCGGACGCGTACGCAAATGTGCACTTGGGATACCACAGCGAGACTTGGCCGGCGCCAAGCAACAAGCAGATAGACACCCTTGAAGCAGCCCAAGTTTATTCGTACAGGTCGGCCCTCAAGCTCCACATGCCGCAGGATGATGGACACCGCCGTACGAACGAGTATGTACTATACCAAGCTCATCGCCCTCCCATCATGGCATGTTTGAGGTTACGCCGACTACGGTACCTGACGGCCTTGTTGGAAGGAGGGCCAACGATTTTGCTGGAGATGCTGGAACACACGTGGGAGGTCACAAAAACGAAGAACGGATGGGCTGCCCAACTACCTGCGGATTTCCAATGGGTAGCTCGACATCTAGCCAAGGACGAAGAGGACGAGATCGCCCACCGCACCGTCCAGGATTGGATCGACCACATCCAGCACGAGCCGAAGCAGTTTCGCAAGACATTGAAGCAAGTATGGGATAAGTATCGTGCTCACCAACATGACCAGCACCATCACGAAGATTGGAATTACCGACTTGAACAGGTACTGCAAGCAGCCGAGGCAGCTGAAATACTACCTCCTCCGGAGCGACCACCAGTCGTATGCTATCATTGTGGCCGCACATATGAGAATGCTTCTGTTCTTCTGGCACATATCAAACGTGATCACGATGGGATCGATGACGCACAAAGATATGCCGCTTCTACCTATTGTCAGGCTTGTCGTACGGAGTATCATACACGGCCTCGACTTATCACCCACCTTCGCTACCGCTCCGAAGCTTGTTTGGAGGCGCTACGTCAGACGTGCCAGGCCTTGGATGACGACGAGGTGCACAAGCTCATGGCCTTAGATCGCTCCCACATTGCTGAACTCAAGCGACAAGGTTACCATGCTACAAAAGCGTTAATTCCTGCAAGAAGGGATGGACGACGACGTCGCGCTAAGATGGCTAAACCAAAGTTCTTACCACCAGGTGTTCCCCCGGAGCTGCTCGACGGACCTTCTGACGGAGAAGAAGACGATGCAGCCCAGCATGAACACCGCCAACCAGACGATCAACAACGGCAGCCGACACCAGCGCCCTTGCATACTCCAACGGTAAAATATATTTTGCATTTATTTTCAGGGCGACGTCGACGAGGGGATTTACAACACTGGATCGAAGGTATGACAGATTTTCCGTGCGTTGTGTTATCAGTAGACGTTGTCAATTCCAATAGCCGTGCAGATCTAACACAGATGGATCAGATATTGGCATTTGCTACCATGATTCGAGAAGGATATATCCTCGGTGTAGTGGCGGCGCCGCCGTGTGAGACGTGGTCTGGCGCTCGACACGTAGCATTGAATGGCGATTACCAGGGGCCACCACCGCTCAGATCGGCCACCCACCCATGGGGCATGCCACACATCGACATGCGGTACCGTCAGCAAGTACAACTCGGCAACCTTCTGATGAGGGCCGCCCTGCTACTGGCCGCAGTCTGCATTGTGACCGTCACCCCGATGCTGATGGAGCACCCAGCGCGCAATTGGCGCCCAGGTACAGCCTCATGCTGGGCACTAGCCCAGGTACGCAGAATGCTGGCCTTCAAAGACGTGGAGCTTATCACTTTTGACCAGTGCTGTTTTGGAGCTGCGTCAAAAAAGCCGACTACGGTGCTCACCATCGCATGCCCAAGTTTTGGGAGAGTTATGAGAGCTCGGGAAGACAGAGGACGTTGCCCACATATGAATGGACACCTGGCTTCTATTGGAAGAGATATACAGGGCAAGTACCTCACAGCCAAGTTGAAGGAATATCCAGAGCAATTATCACTTCACATGGCGATGAGCCTCCAAGCTGCTTGGAATCATCGCACATATTATGCTGGCGCGGACTGGGACGACATAAGCCCGGACCTTGTGCAGTTATACGTCCCCCTGGATGAGTACGGAGCTGCAGCAGAGGACTTCAATCATGACTGTTGGCGAGGCTCGGACGTGATGCAGTATGTGAAGCCGCGGGTCCAGCAGCACAACCTGGACTAGCCAGGGCGGTCGCCAGCACCTTCGACCACCAGTACTGCGACTGGAGGGCCGTGCAGGACCGCTACTTCTGGGTCGTGAAGGCCCCCCCGGCAGGGTGAGCGTGCCGCCCGCCGTAGAAGGCGGAGGCTGGCGGCCCTGAGGGGGGGATGAGCTGGGCCCGAGGGCCCTCCCCCCACCCCTTTTCTGAGCATGAGGAGCCAGGAAGGTGGAGGGGGTGGGTCTCCCTCCTTCCTCTCGCGCGGCGGCCGCGGCCGCGGGCGCGCGAGCGCGGTGGAGGGCTGTGACCCGACGCGCGTCGCGCAGCGGTTGCGGCAGGCAGGCAGGAAGAAGCCTCCGTACGAGAACGGCGCCCATGCACCGCATACCACGCCTGGACTCCCCCCTCGGACCCGGCTCCAGCGGTTGCCAGCGCAGCACGGTGCATGGCCGTTCGGCCCCGAGGGCCGACAGCACTGTGCACCGTGTCGCTTCTGGGTGGAGGCACGGTGCACTCCTCCTCCTCCTCCTCCTCCTCCTCCTCCTCCTCCTCCTCCTCCTCCCTCCTCCTCCTCCTCCTCCTCCTCCTCCTCCTCCTCCTCCTCCTCCTCCTCCTCCTCCTCCTCCCTCCTCCTCCTCCTCCTCCTCCTCCTCCTCCTCCTCCTCCTCCTCCTCCTCCTCCTCCTCCTCCCTCCTCCTCCTCTCCTCCTCCTCCTCCTCTCCCTCCTCCCTCCTCCCTCCCTCTCCCTCCTCCCTCCTCCCTCCTCCTCCTCCTCCTCCTCCTCCCTCCTCCTCCTCCTCCCCTCCTCCCTCCTCCCTCCTCCCTCCTCCCTCCTCCCTCCTCCCCCTCCTCCCTCCTCCCTCCTCCCTCCTCCCTCCTCCCTCCTCCCTTCTCCGCGGAGGCCGGGACCTTCTGGGAAGGCCGCTGCCATCGAAGAGGCCCCTGGCCCTCTCGGTAGAGGTCCGCCCCGCTCGCGCCACCCCCTCGCGAGCGCCGCCAGCAGGCGAAGCTCGAGGAGAACAGCTCAGGAGCTGAACGAAGAAGTACGCGCGCGTGAACTCACACGAACGTCGAGCGAACGCGTTACATGACCGTTCGTGACACGAGGGCGGTCTTGCGAAGTGAGGGGGGGGGCATCCCCATGAACGTAAGCAAGATGTGCGCGTACTCCCTCTTGGGGGCCCCGAAGGATGAGAGGATCAAGGTTTCAGAAGATGCTTCGGACCCACTCTGGGCCGCTGAAGGCTCCCGGGATCAGAGGTTGCCTGATGTGGTCCCGGCCCACACAGAGGCGTCCCCGGTTTCTCGCTCCCTGTTGGGGGCCCTTAGGGCCCCGTCAGAGCTGCTCCGGAAGCCATCTGGGCATCCCCAGGTACCCATCGGTCGGAATAAGTTGGCAGAAACATGAAGTAGGAAAGCGTTGGAGGACGGAGAAGGTGAAGCCACTCGAACATTTAAGTAGGAAGGAGCTGAAAAATGATTGGAATCTGGGAATCCCAAAATAACTACTTTCAACGACCGATGGGTAAGCTATGGTCACATTGGACCAGGGTCGTAACCGGCAACAACGTGCTTTTCTCAAAGCTGGGGCAATGGACCCAAGAGCCCTCATGAAACGCCCCAGGCTGGGGGAAAATCGAACCCTGGGATGGGACTGAAAGGTCTGGAAACACGCGTCACCAAAAACAATGGCGTCCGTCTGCGGCGCACGAGGGAGGGAAAGGAGAAGGAGAAGGTCTTCTCAGAAGGCGACGGGGCTTATCAGAAGGACTGGCCTTCTGAGAGATTTGTTGTGCCTTCGGGGAACGCTTAGGAAACTTCTCAGAAGGCCATGAGACTTCCGAGTCTTCTGAGAAGGGCCGCCCTTTCTCATTTACCGCCCTCGCTCGCCGCCGAGTCTGGCATCTGGAATCGGAGGGCGAAGATCCCCGCCAGGCCAAGGACCCACCACGTCATGTCCAGCTCGCGTGCCCCCCCCGCTTCGCCGCTCCCACAAGACTAGGTAGTCATATGCCGGCCGCGGTCCGAACGGATACCCCAAGCGCGCCGCAGCCGCGTCTTGAAGCAACTGACCTGCATGAAGACCCATTTGCCCGTCTGCCTGCCTGCCTGTCTGGCTGCCTGCCTGTCAAACTGTCGGCCGCCTGCTCTGCATTGACTACAACGGGTACTGAAGGTGGCATGCCCGCAAGCTGCCACCAGCTGAGGAATAGCCAGAGACAGCGCAACGTCTTTCGGGCTGCCTGCTGACTAGTGTTCGCAATCGAATTCGTCACGAGACGTTAATCCCTGGCTTTGCCTTGGCAGCTGCCTCAACTCTCTGATACAACTCGCCAGGCTATCGCTTCTGGATGGGCTGATGGGAGACCACGAAGCGTCAATAATTTCTGAGAGGGAGGCAAACTAGAGAGAGGCGCAGATAGCGAGGAAGGACGACCGAGACCAAGCAGAAGGAAGACGGCTAGGGTCCATATCTGGTTCGTGACGCAGGCCACCGGAGCTCTCGAGCCCCTCCTGGGTGGGCAACGCTTCATCCTGAGCCACTTTGTTTGCTGGCCCCAGGGCCCGAAGCGGGCCTCCAGAGGCCCAACCTTCAAAAATAAGCATCGCAATAACAACAACAACAACAACGGAACAAAGAAGGAAAAGAAAGAGGAAGAGAAGGAGAAAGATAAACATAGAGGGAGAGAGAGAGCTGGCCCAACGGGCCAGAGGCGTGCTAAGTTCTCCAGTAACAGGTAGACAGTATTTCTGTGTATGTGTATATATACATGTATGTATGTATGTATGTATGTATGTATGTATGTATGTATGTATGTATGTATGTATGTATGTATGTATGTATGTATGTATGTATGTATGTATGTATGTATGTATGTATGTATGTATGTATGTATGTATGTATGTATGTATGTATGTATGTATGTATGTATGTATGTATGTATGTATGTATGTATGTATGTATGTATGTATGTATGTATTATGGATTGCGCGCACAGGGCGGCCCCTGGGGGTCCCCGACGAAAACTACCCGGGGCGAGTCCTGGCAAGGTCCCGCCAGAGATGGCTTTGCTCCTCGGCGCCACCCTCGGGGCATCCCCGAGAGTCCCGAAAAGAGCCACGAAACCCCCAAAAGCAATGGAGATGGTCCAAGAGAGCCCCGAGACGCCACAAGATCGTTCCCAGACGTCCAAGATAGCCTCCAGGCGGGCCGGCCCGCGAGGCCTCCAAGACGCCCCAAGAGGCCTCCAGGAGGCCTCCCAAAAGAGTCAGAAGAGGCAAAATTCATTGATTTCCAAAAAGGCTTTTGAAGGATTTTCGCGTGTTCGCCTTTTCAGCTTCCCGACGCTCCAACGCGGCCCAAGAGGCTCCCAAGACCGCTCCAAGACGGCCCAAGGATCTCCAAGAGGACCCCAAAACAGCCCCGAAATAGCCTTAGAGAACCCCATGACTGCCCAAGAGGCTTCGAAGACGGCCTCTGAGGCCCCCAAGACGGCTCCAAGAGAGGGCCCAGACGGGGGACCCGAGCGGCCATTTCGAGCTCTTTGCCCTAAGAGGCCCCCAGGAGGCCCCCAGGAGGCCCCAAGAGGCCCCCAGGAGGCCCCTAAGAGGCCCCAAGAGGCCCCCAAGAGGCTCCAGTGAGGCCCCAGGAGGTTTCAAGAATACCGCCAAGAGGACCCCAGAGGCCTCCCACCCGAAAGCAGGATACACAGCTTGCTCCGAACGACTCAAATCTTCAGACTGCCCCCAAACCGAACATCCACAGAGAACATTCCCCACACGGGCCCAAGCTAAACGCCTACATGCCTCATGCACCGGATAGGCCCGCAACAAACCCCCCCAGAGGCAGCTCAACAGCAACTGCTTCTGCTCGAACGCTCCCCACGCATCGCGCCAGAGAACCACAGCCGCTCACCAGCACCACGTTGACAACGAACAGATGGGGGAACCGAGAGCCGTCAAACAATATGAGCCGGCGGAACGACCGAAGCGACTAAATCAATATACACATATATGTAGATGGAGAGAAAGAGAGAGAGAGAGAGAGAAGAAAAAAAAAAAAACGGGAGGGGAAGGAAGAGAGAGAGAGAGAGAAGTGGAGGTGTAAAAAAACACCCAGGCGCTGTTCGTTACGCCAGGTGGAAGGACACCGGGATCAGTGACGACGGTGCGTCACGCAGCTCATCACGCGGTCGCGCCTTGCGCCGCCTGGCGGCGAGCAGACGCTCCAGCAGCTCCCTCCTCGACTCGGCGGGCCCCGCGCCTGCCCGGCAGGCACCAGACGGCAGCCCGCTCTCCTGACGGGCGGCCATCCAGCAACATCACCAGTACCAGCACCATGATCATGACCAGCAGCACAACCATCATCACTCGCCTCAACATCATAACACCACCACCACCACCATCATCATTAGCATCATCATCATCATCATCATCAGCAGCAGCAGCAGCAGCATCAGCATCAGCATCAGCATCAGCAACAGCATTATCATCATCATCATCATCATCATCATCATCATCATCATCATCATCATCATCATCCTCATCATCATCATCATCATCATCAGCATCATCATCATCATCATCGTCATCGTCAGCATCAGCAGCATCATCATAATCGTCAGCATCGTCATCATCATCATCATTATCATCATCATCATCATCATCATCATCATCATCATCATCGTCGTCAGCATCGCCATCATCACCAACAATATGATCATCATCAGCATCATCATCAACAGCATCATCATCAGCAGCACCATCAGCATCACCATCGTCGTCATCATAATCATCATCAGCATCAGCATCCATATCATCAGCATCGTCATCATCATCATCGCCAACCAGCGTCGCCATCATCATCATCATCATCATCATCATCATTATCATCATCATCATCATACAAGTCGTCGTCGTCCTCGTCGTCGCCGTGAACATCGTCGTCGTCATAATCATCACCGTCGCCGTCGTCATCATCATCAGCATCATCATCATCAACCACATCGTCCTCGTCGTAAGTATCATCATCAACACCACTACCACCACCACGAACATAATAATCGCCATCTTCACCATCCTTAGTGTGCGAGTCTGTCGCAACTCATGAATACCACCTCGTGGAGCTTGCGAACAAAGAAGCGGCACTAGGGCAATAGCAATAATCCAACGAGAGATCGGAACGTTCATCTGTGCCATGTGCTCTCGTTGGCAGCCGCCATGGGCGACGTGAGCTGCTGTTGGGCCTGGGAGCATCCAATCATCATCATCAACATCACCACCATCGCCATCCACATCAACCACAGCACCGTCGTCATCATCACAATCGTCGTCGATGTCATCATCGTCTACCTTCCCCCTTCCGCCTTCCTCAAGCCAGCAGCGGCAAACATTAGGCGTAGAGTTGCCACTCTGGCATGTGTTTTGGTTGGTCTGGGCCTTGTTAACGACAGCTTCCATTAGCTCAGAGTACCTTAGCCTCATGCACTCGCAGCGCCTCGCAACTCTTCGTGACTTTCCGCAAGTTCGCTAATATGACGCTCAATGTACAAAGCCTGGCAAGACCTGCCCACCCTACCCTAATCTACCCCACGCTGCCTGCATCGATGCCAAATCGAATCGTGACAAACTTGAACTAGTACATTGTTTTTTTGAAAAGGGGAGGGAATGGGATCACAGAGCTGTCCACACGACTCGGCCTCGATCGCTGTGCGAATCAAAAGGTCGCCAGACAAACCGGGAACACCACACGAGCCGACCTGCGATAGGCAAGCTAATGCACTTAACCGTGGCCTGGAAGATGAGTGAGCGTGCCGCGTGCCGCAATACAGGAATCGGATTTGGATGCGTACCAAGTTCGTTATGCGAGCGTACGCCGTGACGCGTACATCGACCCCGCTGCGTAGAGCCCCCCAGTATCCCAGCAACCAACCTAAACTAGTATACTAAGTCTCGTTGGTGCTGTCTCAACTTAACTGCCTTCCCTACCATGCACTGCCCAACTTACTCTACACCCACCCTAGCCCATATCAAAGAATGGAATGGCATTGCACCACTCCGCCCTATTACACCCCAGCCCGCCATTCCCACACCACCTGATCTAACCCTGTACGTCCTCGGATCACGCGCATGTGCATCATATCCCAAGTCAACTCAGCTCAGCTTAGATGGACTCATTTGAGCACACCATAACATCACAGAGCCTCAGTTTGGCCCGCCTCATGGTTCCACGATGCTCGGAAGTTGTCAGGGTATGCTCTGCTTTGTCTGGTGAAGGGCACCATGCAAATCGAAGGTGCCTTCTGGGCATGGCAAGGTTGTGATGCCAGCCCTTCTGAACCGATCCTTGTTCTATTTCTGGAAATACTTACTCATCCCGAAAGCCCCTCTCTGGTGATCTGGACTTGGGGGTTCGCCAGCAATGGGAGCGCCCACAATGGAAAGCTCCAAGACGGCCTCAGATAGCCACCAAAATACAAGCCCTCTGGGCGGCGGGTGGCCTGAAGTCTAGTCCAAATACTCGATTTCCAGTCCTGACAATCCATGGGAGATGGGGCTGACACTTACACCATATGAATACTACTCTCCTCTCTCCCCCAAAGACGTGCTGAGAGTGGCGCGCCGACTTCCGCATATTGCCTTCTGCACACATGATGGGTCCGACTTGTTTTTGTCGTGTCGGTTTCCCATCCGAACGTTGTATCCCCGCTGCCGCATGGATATCATTTTAGCATCGCGGTTTGTTCCCCTCGCTCAAAAGGGCGCGCTCGCCCCAACACGGAACGCATCTCTGGATCTGGGTCATTCCTCATCGCTGTCGCCCCCCTCCCTTCCCCGCCTTCCCATCCCTTCCCCTCCTCCTCTTGCTATGGACGAGGATCCCCCTTGCCGATTGCGCATGACACGAGGGGGTCTGTTCTGGAGTTCCAGGTCCTCTGCGACACGCGTCCGCGGATAGAGAAAAGATCAGCGCAATGTGAAGGGATGGGAGGGAGAGTCAGGATGTCGGATGTGGCGCGAGCGCACCCAGTTTCCCCCTTACACATCGCCCAGATCCATCCCCCACGCCACAACCCTTCCCCCCTCGCCTGTGGACTGGGAGTGACCGGCATCCTGGTGTGGCGGCCGCCTCTGGCCCACCCGCGAAGAGAAGACCAGCCCGCAGATGAACATCCTTGTGGGACGTAGCCTCCGATTTGAAGGACGGGGTGGGGCCTCCTGAAGCCCTCAGCGCCCTGTTCGGGGACGCCTCGGCGCCCTGTTCGGGCCGTGTTCGGGCCTGCTGAGGCGCTCTGAGGGCCTCTTGGAGCCTTTGGGGCCATCGTGGGACCGTTTTGGACCTGTGCAAAAAACAGTGGGCCTGGCTTCAGAGCTGAATTGCGGGAGGCCGTTGGGGTCTTCTTGGGGCTTTTCTGGGTCCCTCTCGGGGCCTCTTCTACCATCTTCAAATCATCTTGAGGATGCATACGCTCATCGGAAGCCAAAACATGAGGCATCTGGGAGCCATGCTGAAGGCCGTCTTGGACTAACATGGCCCCTCGGGCGCCGTCACGGAGGTCTGCTTTGTGTTGTCCAAGCTTGTATGGCGTTGCCTGTCCAAAACGGAATCGCGGGCACCAAGATTTTCCGCGCTGGACGGGACTGACCCGCTGTATTGCGGAAATTCCTTCATATGATCCCAAACTTCGGCCCCCGCTGGGCGTCAAGGCCTCCCCTCCGTCTCTGAGACCGAAGATGCGGATGCGCAAAAACAATTGCAAAACAATTCACTGTTACACACCAGTCCAAGAAGCCCTCAAAACGATGCCATACAACCCAAGGCGCTTCGAAGTGGCCCCCACGACAGCCCAAGAGACCCTCAAAGGCTTCCAAGATGGCCCAAGTGGCCTCCGAAAGGACCAAGAGAGGAACAAGAGGCCACCGAAAGGCCCCGACGGGCGTCCCGGAGGGTCAAAGCGATCCCTTAGATGGAACAGGACAGCCGATGAGACCCCCAGGAAGCTTCCAGGACGACCTGAGAGGACCCGAAAACGCGAGAAGGCCTCCAAGAAGCCCCCAGAATGGCCCGAAGGCCCCAAGAGGCGAGTCAAACGCTCCCTAAAGGCCCATACGAAAGATACAGTGGAGGCCCGACCACAAGAAACCTTCCACAGTGTGGGAACGTCACGCCTTCCATCGCAAAACCATCGACACCCAAGAAACCCACGGCACCCTGGAGGCAAGCAGGGTGTTCCTTGGCATGGGCCTCCACGAAAGATATGGTAAACATCCCGAATGAACACCCAAGGCCTCCTCAGAAGCCCCAACGACGGACGAGGGCAAAAGGCCCACAGAGACATGCAGAAAGCCCTCAAAAGAGTGGCACGACCTATTTCGTTATGGCGCGGCTCTTTTTCACGCTCTTCCCTTCCACCTTCTCGCTGGCACACCCACACACAGAAAATGATCGACAGTAAAGCTCTCCGGAAAAAAGGAGGAACAAAAAAAAACGAGTATCCGCTCCACACTGATGTGAATGCGGCTTAAACAACCTTCAATATCTCAAAACAAGGTCGGGTGCATTCCCTGGTCGATCCCTCTACATAGGTGGAATCAATAGATCTAATGCCTCCTTTTCGGAAACCACATCATCCCGAGAAACGTCAAAATCCGAATCGGCTTGCTCATAGCAAACAACGGATTCGACGATTCACTTGGCTTAGATGAACATGGAACACGGAGCTCGCCGTGACTACGAACATCGCACTAGGAACATCGAACATCACCCACACTGGGGCACTACATATCAGCCAAACGGTTGGGCACTCGCCTTTGGATACATAGAAAATCAAGGAAGAGAAATCATGGCGCAGCACACGCACGTTCAGCGTTCCCGACGGCAGGCGGCGCACCCGCCTGCAGCAACAGCCGCAATTCGACGGCTGGCAGCTGTGACCACAGCGCATGCCGCCGCAACTCGGCCAAGAGCTCGCCGCGCGCAGCACCGGCAGGACGTGGCAGTCCAAGAGCCGCGAGCCGGGCCTCCCCTCCGCGAACACTCCCCTCGTCTCGACCTCCCCTCATCTCGACCCGACTCCCCTGTTCCGGAGGCGGTCGCAGTTATCGACGATATACGCATGATTCCTCCAACGACCCACAATCTGAAATGCAACATGACGAAAACATGCACGCTCTGCAACATGATACGCGTGTCAGATCGTCACCACCGCCTACCAGGTGAAAACACAAGTGTTCCACATGCACGGCGCAAGGCCGCGCTGGGAGATGGCCGATCCAAAAGACTTTCGACACATGGCGTCGGTGCATTTGTGTGAGGCTTTGTGGAGGGGCTAAACCGCCTCAAAACTGCACAGACACGGCACAGGACTGGCCCGACGCAACTCCAGGATAATCAAATTTGTTCCGAGACTGCTTCAAGACCCGCGAGAGCTCCCCAGGACAGCTCAAGACGGTGACTGTCCCCCTCCTCCTTCTTCTCCCTATCCTTTTCTCCTCCCACCTCCCTCTCCTCCTGCCCTCCCCCTCCTTTTCCTGCTCCTCCCACATCCTTCTCCTCCTTCGCTCCCCCTCCCCCCCCCCCCCCCCGGGGAACCGGCGCACCCCGGTGCGGCGGCGGCGGCGGCGGCAGGCGCCGCGACCCAGGCCACGGGGGGGCACCGCAGAGGACGAAGGCAGCAGAGCCCACGGACACGGCAGCAGAGAGCACGGGGGCAGCAGGGGACACGGGGGCAGAGAAAACGGGAGAGAAAACAAGGTAAAAGAATCCCACGAGGCAAATCCATTGAGTTCCCAATGGTTTTTGAAGGTTCTTCGGGTTCCCGGCTTCGCGGGCCAAAAACAGGCCGAAATGGCCCAAAAGGCTCCAAAGATCTTGCGAAAACGCCCCAGGAGGCCCTAAACGTGGCCCGAAAAGAGTCTAAAGGGGCCCCAAGACGGCCCCAGAGAGGCCCCCAACAGTCCAAAGCGGACCAACGAAAGGCCCCAGAGAGGGCACGGGGAACGGGAGAGAAAACAGGGTAAGAGAGAGCGCGGGAGCAGCAGTGGCCACGGGAGCAGCACGGGATCATGGGAGCAGCAAGGGCCACGGGAACAACAAAAGAAAAAGGAACTTGCAAGTAAAATGGGAGGAGCCAAGGGATATACGGGAACAACAAAACACAGGAAACCAACGGGATACCGGAAGGCACGGGAACAACAAAACACAAGAGACACAAGAACTCCTTGAAAACAGGCACAACAAAGGAAACGGCAGCAGCAAAAAACGCTGACAAAACACAGGAACAACAAAGAACACGGAAACAGCAAAGAAACGAGAGCAGCAGAGGACAAAAGAACAGGATAGAAAACGGAAGCACCAGAGGACAAGGAAACACCAGAGGCCATGGGAGCAGCAAAAACCACCAGAACAGCGGGAGCCACATAATCAACAAAAAAGAGCAACAGCAGCAACAAGCAGTTCACACTTAAGCGCCACACTTTACATGCCACGTGCGCCCACCCTGGAGCCCCCCCCTCTTTGGTGAAATTATCTGAGCGTGACTTTTCCCCCTGATATCCGCCCCGAGAAGGTCGAGCCAACACCTCTCCCAGGCCACTTTTCCACTTCCGTTTCGCACGGCCCAAGGAAACGAGCAGATGTAGGAACATGCATTAGAAATATAAATCGAGCCCTAATCTACGGGCAATAGAGAGGAACATACGCAAAGCACAAAAAAGTGGAGCCCAGTTGAAAATTATATATTTCGTACATCTGGTATATATACCAAAACAAAACAGAACAAACCAAAAGGAGCCGCAGGGAAGAAGCAACATATAGGAGCACATGTAAAACACAACAGAACTCAAGTCCCAAGAGAAGGGCGGCGAGACCTATGGGAGCAACGCCAACAGAGGGGGTGGAGAGGGGGGACGAAACGCACTTCCCGAACACATATCCCACTACAGAAAAATGCCTCGTGGGCCCACTTGGGGCCTCCTGGTGCCTCCTGGGAGCGGGAAGGCTGACAAGCGTTTCCCGAACACATACCTCAACTCGGATAAAAAATCCCGGGGCCTCACATACCTGAAAAGCCAAACAACGCTTCCCCAACACACATTCCAATACAAAAACACATTTCCTGGGGCCTCCCGGGAGCGGAGGGTTCGAAACACAGTCCCCGAACACATATCCCGCCAACAAAAAAACATCCCCATGTCTCACGGAATTTCCTGGTAGCGGGGAGGCGGAAAAACGCTACCCGAACACATATCCCAATCCGGGGAAAACTGTTCTCTGGGGCATCCTGAGAGCGCGAGAATACAGGAGCCGAAAAACGCTCCAAACACCGCATCCAAATACAGGAAAATGTCGTCAAGGGCCTCCTCAGACCTCGTGCCAGCAGGAGGGCCGAGAAACGCTCCCCGAACACATATCCGAGGCACAGAAAGTCTCCAAGGGCCTATATAAGCCTTCTGGGTGCGGGCAAAAAGCGCGTCGAGAGGCGACGCCACACACGGGCCCAGAGGTGGTACCCGCGCGCGCCCTGACGTCGCCATCAGGCTACTGCAACCCCAGGGCGGACGCGGGCGGGGCGAAACGCGCCCTCGGAGAGGCAGCGCCCCGAGAAAGGGGCCGTCGCGCGCGCGCGCCCGCCTGCCACAGCATCAGGGATGACACGTGCGGGCGCGGCGTCTGGCCGGGCGCCCCCTCTGCGCCGCATCCTGGCCGCTGCTCAGACAACTTGAGCAGCGCCCCTCCCGGACATCGCGCTTCGCGGAAACTCGCCGATCGGCGAGGCGCCGCACCGCTCGCGCCGTTGCTCGCCGCGCGGCGCGCGGGCGCACGCGCAGGCCTCCTGGCAGCTGCGCATTCCAACATCGCGATGCGGCGGACGTCCACAGGCCGCACCAGCGCGAAGCCGCTCTTCTGGCACCCGTCCCGCGAGTCGCAGCAACACGCTGCCATGGGCTGAGGCGGCGCGCACGCGGCGCCTGCGCGCGCCGGGCCAGAACCGGCGACGGCGCGCGCCCTGGCGTCGCCGCCAGGCTGCTACAAACCCATCGCCGACACCTAGCAAGCCTGGCGGGTGGCGCTGGGCGCGCGAAACCCCGGCGGCGACGTCGCGCGACGGTTGCCGCGGCGGTTTTTGTTTATAATATTTTTTATCAGCCTCGGTCGTGCATGAACTCCTCACCACTTGCCTTCTTCAGACAGGCGAACAAACGGCCGCCGGTCGAAGGAAGACACTTTGCACTGAAACAAACAGAGAGGACGGGGACGGAAGAGAGGAAGCAGGACGGGGAGGAGGAAAGGAGGAGGGAACGAGGGAAACAAACGACAGCCTGCTCACGCCGGCGCCCACGCACGATGGGCCAAGAGCGGGTGAAAAGCGAAGGATTGGCGCCACGACAGCAAAGTGCACCACTGCGCGTTTCCTGCGCGCACTCGTGAGCACAGGAAAGTTTGAAGACACTGCTGAAAGTAGTGAGCAGACGGTTGGTTTACGATAGCCTGTGGAAGGATATTGCACAGACGAACGCCCCCCAGAGGGGACCGGAGAACGTAATCTGGCGAGGAAGCACTGCAAGGATCGCAAACTTGCCTGTTGTGGGGGGGAGCGGAAGACGAGCGGGAGGGACGGGAAGAGGCAGGGGCAAGGGAGAGGCGGAAGAAATGGGCGAACATGGGAGAACCCTGGCCAATGATACTGCCATGAATGAATGAGACCGAGAATGGCGATATCTCGGCGGACAGACAAAGGACCGAGGCCATGATCCATCAATGCTGGCTCGTATGATAGCTCCAGAGGGCGTAGAAAACAATGTTGCACATATTCTATGACCGACAGAGCAGAGGACGAGGCGTGGCTTATTGCTGTCGCACGACATTCAATATAGGACAGGCCATGGCTTTTGAACAAGAGAATCAGTTCCCGAGCGCTGTAATACCTGCGACAATGGAGAATAGAAGAGGAGCGCCAGCCAGCTTCGCACGCACACTCCGAGATCGCATCGCCCATCAAAAGCTTGCAATCAAAGACGACGCCCAAGGATCTAAAACCGTCGCCGTGCGGACGGGAATGCGAGAGGATGCGCATGCTGTCATTGGAGGGATTAAAAGCAACGCCGTTCGCTTGACCCCAAGTGTGGAGCTTAGACTGGCATTGGCGCATAGTGGCGCAAGCTTCCGCATTGTTCTCGCCAAGCACTAAGATTTTGACAGCATTCACAACATCTGCGCATATTATTTCTTGAAAGCCGGCCTCGCCCATTTCATCTTTGGAGTCGGAATAAAAAATGTTCCACAGCACCGGGCTGAGAACGGCGCCTTGAAACACCATGACATGTGAATCGCATTGGAAAGCGCACCGTCGACCGCTACGCGCGCTGTTGACGGCGCCAGCCAGCTGCTGAGGACTGCGAGAAGGGCAGAAGGCAAGCCAGAAGCTGCGAGCTTAGCTTTCAAACGGGCGGCGGAGACGCGATCAAAGGCCCCTGCGGCATCCAAACTGCACACAGCCACGCGCCTCCCAGCGCCGAAAGCGACCAGACAGCTTAAACCGAAATACAGAGTTGCGCCCCTCGATCCTTTCCCCGGCGCGCAAGCGAATTGGAAGTTCCCGTAGCGAGTTTCACGGACAAGACGGGGCACCAACAGAGAAGCGGCCCAAGCGCGAGGCCACTCTCCACAAGAAAGAACGCGCCGAGCTAGGAGCACAATGGGAAGAGACAGCTCTCGAAAGCAAAACTTCAAGACACGGGCAAGGACCAAATCAGGCCCCGTTCCGCTATCCACGCTTCAATCTTTGAGAACATGCGAGGCAGAGCGGAGACGGAGGGGAGGAAAGCCGAGGGAGGACAGAGGGGGAGGGGGAGGGAGAGCGCAGCACGCAGTAGAAATAAGCATTGGACTCCGTCATTTTTTCTTCAAAGGAGCGCGCAAATTCATTTGCCTCGTCGACTGCCCGGGTAAACCAAGCGCCGCCTGGACCACGGAGAGGCAGCAAAACATCATTCGACACCTTACGCATGAGCTCCCGGGA